CCACTGCAGCGATTATAAGCAGAAACGTATAGAACAGTTGGATGAGTTCCAAGCCGCGGGACGGCGATTAATTGCATGTAATGTTTCGTAGGCCTACAGGTATCCGTGCTGGAAGCAGAATAGAGCGCACTGTTGAATCACGGCCCCCAGCTACTGCACACCAACATCCCGGGCGTGCGTGGGTGTGTGCTTGCGCGCTCGCGTGTGTATACGTGCGTGGACGAGTGAACTTACGAGCGCGCGTGTATGCGAGCATGCGTGCGCACGTGCGCGCGCGCCTACGTAGGTCTGAATATTCGTCAATATTCCTTAGCATAGCAAACCAAATGCATGGCTTAGCAGGCACTAGCCCGGGTCGACAGCGCCAAGGAGTAGGAACGGCCAATAAACAAACCAACGACAGTGGGCGGACGAGTATAAAACCCTCAGCATTGAGATATCGCCTAGGCACTAGAACTCCACGCACATTATTGTTAGTTTCGCGCGCTATTGTCTGAAAATCGAGAGAACATGCTAAGACTATGAACACCGCATAACGTGACCGACCTCTGGCCAAAAATGAGCTAGTGTGTGTCGGTATATCACGCGACGGTTTCACATACAACCTGCATGCACGTTTTCGCCGGACACCCGTCCTCGTGAAATCAAATCAAACGATCAAACTACGCAGCATGGAAGACGTTAAATCGTCGTGCGATACGGATCCTATAGTTAATCTACATCTCGTAATGCCCTCGTTGAAGTACTCGTTTATAAATGGCAGCGATTACGGACGACCTGGGCGTTACCTGGCGGCAGGCTCGTTGATCATAATTCCCGCGACTCCAAGAGCATTTCCACGCAATATTACAGTGCTACGCTTACCAACGCCATCTCTTGTCGCACATGACTAATGGACCACTAGCTGCAGTCGCTCGCGACCGACTATCTGTGAGGCGGGGGAGGCCTGCACGCGCAACAGCGCAAACAAGGACACCCTTTATACCACGACGTCATAATATGCAGCTATTACGATACGTACGTAGTACGTGAATAGCGTCTCGTCCGCCAGGGCCGCCGACGTGTGGTGTCGACAGGGAAACGTATTAATCATGCGACATGATGAGCCACGATTCTCATCCTTCTAAGTCACTTTAGACGGTTTCCCGTACGCGTGTAGACATCTAGTATATACGTAAAGATTTTATGTCTATGATTAGGGACATTTACAGCCGGTTGTGCAATTTTAAGTTAGTACACATTTGAGTATGTTTGTTGAACGTTTAAATGTTTTAAAGTATGAAGTACATAAAAATATTATAGATTTTGAAGTATGAAGTACTGCGACTTGCGTTGATAGAGTAACAGATTATCGTTTTTCATATTACTATTATCATTGCTGTTATTTGCTGCTGGTGCTGCTGCTGGTGCTGCTGCTGGCGCTGTTGCTGACGCTGGCGCTGCTATACTGCTGCTGTTGATGTTGTTGTTATATTCGTAAGGTCGATGGTGCGCTATTGCTAGCGGCACAACCGCTTTTAAGATGCGGCTTATTAAAGTGATATCTTTATATTTAAGCGACTATCACCAAAACATTGACGAAGCGTTTGCGAGTGTGTTAAATCTCAACCGAAACAGCAAGTCTATGTTCTCCCACCATAATAAGATATCCTATCGTCATGCCGTATTGGGCTCGAGATAACATCATCGTCTAATAAGATTATACTTACGCCTGCAGAAACAACGAGTATAATGCTGACAGCCACTCCTGTCTAGACTCGTGAAGCGCATATAGCACTGAGAGCCAGATCTAGACATGTGAGACAGATGGTCGCGAACGAATTACGCCGAAGGAAGACAGAAATGTCGCAGAAACAAGCGATAACAACGTACGCGGCAAACATAAATGCTTACCGGCACACGTACGCGTGACGTTCACGTACACGTACGCGCACACACACACACGCAGGCACATGTACGCGCACACGCACGCGCGCGCACACACGCACGCACGCACATGTGCGCGCATACGCAGGCGCGCACGCACAGACGCTCGCACGCACACCGCACATGCACACACATCTCAACTGAATGGAGTTCTGGGGGTTATCGATTGTCAATTGATCATGAAGCGAAATGTCTGGAATACAGCGATCAGAATTTCGGACGAGAACAACGGCTTGACATCTTGTTACATCATTGTACGAGACGGTGTATGCGTGCGTGTATGTGTGTACTACGTGCGTGTATGTGTGTACTACGTGCGTGTATGTGTGTACTACGTGCGTGACTATATGCGCGTGTGTGCGCGCGCGTGTGAGCTGTACCAACTGCAGAAAAGCAAAGGTGCTTAAGTAACTAGGAAACTGTCTACACCTGCCAAGCCGAAACGACACACCACTGAATATATCGTTAGCTGTCAATTCATCTCTTCCTACTACTCCATACGTACGTATTCAATCGCCCCCTACCTACTAAACTACAGATGACATCTACACAGCTGCCAAGTCTCTGTCATACTCACCACCTACCCGTGATATCTACCTCCTACTTTGCTGCCAAATAATCCCGACCTGTCAAATCAACACAAGGCCAGCTACTACTCTACTGCTTTCGAAGCAAAATTTTCAGGAATATTAATACCTTTCTTCGTGTTGTCACTGAAGGTATGGAAGAGCGCAGACGACTTGTATATGACATTAGCATATACCTCCCCAGGCCGGCCGTTGCAACGGCTATATGCGCCAATTACGTTGAAGAAATTGTTCGCAAGTTATGGTTGATGGATGTTGATTCAATCAAAGCTAGTTACCAATGAGAGCTTTCAGTGTGTCATCATTATACAGCGCACATATTGCAATTCTTCAATTCGTACGCGCTATACTGGAAATCAACACATTGTTATTACATTGACGTCTATTCACGGTCTGTGACTTTCTACAACATTGCGCCCAAAACCAGCATGGATCGTGAAGCTTCTTAGACTTCTGTATGCGCGTAGTGATCTCTCCACACTTCTTCGCCCATGTTATTTTAAAACCCGCGATTCCGAGGGTAATGCTGACTTAGCCATTGTAGAGTTTTGTTGATGACGAGATTTGGGGGTCAGAAAACCCGTAGCTATGCTCGGCTGACGCGGAGCTAATATTTGTTCTGCATTACGCGCTCGATTTTAATCAAAGTTCACCAAGTTAAGGATTAACTTGCCGTTATGTTGGGCATGAATGGTTAGACGTTCATGGTGGAGAGAGAGGGGGAGAGAGGGAGAAAGAGAGAGAAAGGTAGAGAAAGAGAAAGAGAGCGGGGGAGAGAAAGAATGTGAGACAGAGAGACAGACAGACACACAGACACACACACACACACACACTCACACACACACACACACACACACACACACACACACACACACACACACACACACCACAACCAGAGAGAGGCGAGCAGATGAGAAGAAGAGCGAGAGGGATGCAGAGAGAGAGAGAGAGCGAGAAGAGGGAGAGAGAGGAAAAGAGAGAGAGAGAGAGAGAGAAGAGAGAGAGAGAGAAGAAAGAAAGAAGAGAGAGAGAGAGAGAGAGAGAGAGAAAGAAAGAGAGAAAGAGAGAGAGAGAGAGAGAGAGAGAGAGAGATAGAAGAGAGCGGTGTGTATGTGTGCGCGCGTGGAGAGAGTGGATGGGAGAGTGAAGAGGCTGTAAGAGGGACTGGGATGATTTTGTAGCCTTTTGTTGCAACCATCTGATCATGATATGACCCAACGACAACAGTTCCACACGAATTCACACAGTCTGCAATAGCGCTGTGTCTACAAACGTCCATACTAGCTCAGACAGTTTGCCGACCGTGTACATAACGGGCAGTAGAAGGCTAATCTCAAACAGAGTTGCGCAAACATATGTGTTCTGTGTACCCATGGAGATCCATTTTGGTATTATCTGAATTACTTAACCTATCGGGTCAGCCCCCCCCCCACTAGGTGTCAGTCATTGTTCATGCAAGACGCGAGGCAGCGTTGAAGTTCACAGGCGCATGGATGAATGGATAACTGGATGGAATTGGACGGACGAACAGACTGACGGCCGGGGGGCGCACGGATCGGTGGATGCATAAAGAATGGTACGCGAACTGCTGTTTGTCTAGTGTAGTTAATAACTTATTATGTTGCGATTACAGTCACGTCTGCGTTTTCTAACACGCAAAACACTTGTAAGAAGTCGTGGCGCATGCATGCAGAGCAACCAGCAGCGTGACAGCCTATGAAGCAAAGCGATAAATCGATAAGATGTAGGTAAGATTATATTAAGCATCGCGGTAATGCCGATCCATCATATAATGTCTATACATGGTTATTACCCAACACAGCTCTGTCCACTCATTCATTCGTAACGTTGGCCGAGTTGTAGTTACCCTACCTATAAGTGAATGCTAACGGTTTTCGCTACCTGTGGTAAACCACCAAGTTGTACTTGAGAATTTTGGTTCATTTTAGTCAGTTAGTTTTCAGTCGGTTCAAATTTTGGTTCGTTTCCAAAGAACGATTCTCGGCGATAAAATAGCGTCTTCCGCGATCTGTGACTTTGGTAGCTATGGCGAAAATGACACAGTGTGACAGGGAGGACGAGAAATACACGCGAACACTGCATAATGCGAGGCGGAATAATTGTAAATCTGCTTTACGAGATATGGAATACGATGTGGAAAATATAAGAAAAACTGTCTTACGAGATAGATAAGAAAGTAGAGAATACAGAAGAAACATTTTTACAACACCGGGAAGGATGTGGGGAGATGATGAAAAACTGCTCACATGCATGCATATCGCGGAAGATGAGAATTACGCTAGGCGGAACTGCTATCTGCAATAAAGAGGAAGGTGGTATAATTATAGGAGAATTAAACTGCTTTACGAGAATGAGTCAACGGACTAGATCGTTACCGCACACGCTGACCCACTAAGCGAGCGACACACGCCGCATAGAGAGGAGTCCCACACTAGTATAATGTTAGCATGCATCTCGTTCACTCACCTTGTCACGCGACTCGGCTTCTTCCAGGTAAGTAAACTGACGACGGACGAAACGTACGTTGCCGCTATCCCACTATCATCCTGGCGGAGAAAACCCTCGCTACACTCTGCTCTCTTTCTACTCAGTAGACACGGGTAAACAGACTGATCAGCTGCCACAGGTATCGATAGCAACGAACTGCGCGCGCGTACAAGAGCACTAGTCACCCAGAACCTCGGGCGCCAGACTGCAGCGGTTACAATAAGAACGAGAGCGAGTGACGAAGCACAATAGCGTAGCGGACTGGTCTACATTAGATAGGGGGTGCGGCATCATTCTAGCGGCTGCTGCACACTGCAGCACTGTGATCGCCGGAGCGGGGGAGGAAAAACACCGTTTGCAATGCAGACGCTGCGGGCAATGACGGCTAGACATCCACTGCCGTGTTCAGAGACAGGCGGCGAAGGAGCGTGAAAGGAATGGGGGTGCATCTAGAGCGTGCTCGGAAGCGACTCATCAGGAACTGACGTCGAAAAATATCTCACCTATGAAGCGCGCATTGCATTCGATGGTGTCGACGTGCAGTGAAAAGTCTCATATGCACTAACATCTGCTTGCACATATAGGGTGTGTGAATGTAAATAAATAAAATGTGTATATGTAGTGGGACCTCATTCCCCGCTTAGTAGCTCATAAATCCGTACACGAGGAAATATGTGCATCTATGTCGCGCATGGATTCAAGGCCGAACCGAAGGATGGACGGACAGATGGGAAGATGAACGAATAGGAGGGTGGATGAGTAGCGAATGGATGGTTGGATGGGTGGGTGGATAGGTGGATGGGTGGACAGATGGGTGGATGGGTGGACAGATGGGTGGATGGGTGGGCAGATAGGTGGATAGATGGGTGGATGTGTGAGTGGGTGGGTGCGTTAGTGCCAGATGGATGGATGAGTTGATGGATAGACGGATGGATGGGTGGGTGGATGGATGGATGGATGGATGGCTGGATGGCTGGCTGGCTGGCTAGTTGGATGGATGGATGGATAGAGGGAGGGATGGACAGATGGATGGATGGATGGATGGATAGATGGATGGATGAGTGGATGGATGGATGGATGGATGGATGGATGGTTGGATGGATGGATGGATGGATAGATGGATGGATGGATGGATGGATGGATGGATGGATGGATGGATGGATGGTTGGATGGATGGATGGATGGATGGATGGATGGATGGATGGATGGATGGATGGATGGATGGATGGGTGGATGGATGGGTGGAGGGATGGATGGGGGACGAATGGATGGATGGATGGATGGATGGGTGGATGGATGAATGGATAGATGGATGGATGGGTGGAGGGATGGATGGGGGTGGATGGATGGATGGATGGACGGGTGGGTAAATGAATGGATGTATGGATGGATGTGTGAATGGATGGGTGGATAGCGGACGCACATGCCGAACACAGTGTGACCTTGTGGATCCCCGAGTCAACATGACAAGATACAAATGATGACCGATGACGAATTGTATTATTACAGTGATGAGAATGCCAATATAGTTCTACTACAAACTTCATGGGTCAATGATTCTGTACCTACGATGATAACAAAGTCGATATTTGACGATCACAATTACTGCAGCGTACGACTGCATGATATGGCGAGTGTCATCATCATCGACTAAACACGAGTATCGATGCCTTGAGGCTATCGATTAGTAACGGAACGAACTTCGACCAGAGGCGATCGATTAACCAAATGACTGATGGGAGTCGGACGGAATTTGCTGCGTTGAGTACCATCTACATCTCATATTAAAGATTCACGTCATCAAGGCGTTGTGGGGACGTGCGAGCGAGTGGGAGGAGCTTAAAGCCATAAAGTTTTTCCCTCCTTTGAGTAAGCGGAGAAATGCGAGCGACATATGGAATTCTACTACAGTTGATGCCAATACATGCACGGGACCGGGCGTTGGTGCTGCAAGAGACGGCGTAAAAAATGGAGGAAGAACTAGATCGAGAGCTCTAGCTGACATTCACACGTTGGCCCATATTATCTCAGATGGCTCACCATCAGTTGGCCGCAGGCGCATGAGTCGAACGTTCAAGGTCACGGCAGGACGCGCGGAATGGAGCCTCCTCTGATTGCGAAAGTGGGCTATTAAATAACGAGATTTCCTACGTGCGAGGTTCGATTTTCAAATCATCCAAATATAGAAACTTTATTCGAAATTAGGGGTAAATTGAGCGGGGAACCCATTCATGTCTGACGCTCTAGCTTCACTGACTAGAAAACTCGTTTTTTGTTGCAATCTGCAATTGACCTTCGCACAGGTAAACGAAGTACCGGTCTATATGCGCGACAAATGGAACAGCCCCGACCGCACAAATTTACATATTGATATAAGTAGTTTTACTGAGAACGGCAAGTCACATAGTACTAGTCAGTTCTACGCAATAGTCAGTACTAGTGTATTATCGCCAAACACGGACAACGTTCTTCTGCCTAATTAATCGTCGAGCAACCTTCACGTGTTAATGTTAGCCGGAACACACATGCACACACACACACACACACACACACACACACACACACACACACACACGCACGCAACGCCCACGCCACGCACGACGCGCACACACACACACATGCTCACAACCGCACACACGCGCGCGTGCGCACGTACCACGCTCACACGCACGCACGCACGCACGCCACGCAGCACGCACGCACGACCACACACACACACACACACACACACACACACACACACACACACACACACACACACACACACACACACACACACACACACACACACACACACACACACATCCCCCTATACACAGACATACACATCCCAACTCATCACGCAGCCATAGCACGGTGGCCCATTCGCGAGAAGCGCACACTATATACATTTACCATGCACACAGCCTCGGGCATAACAGCGAAAGTGAGTTACGCAACGCGGCGCCCGCGCGCGCGGCTACCTGCACGCGCACGCACGCACGCACGCACGCACGCACGCAGACGACGCGGTGAGGCGCTGGCGGATCTGGGGCAGTCGGTCGGCCGTCACACGACCTTATCGGGTGGGCGACAGTCAGCCGTGTATAGCTGCGACTAAGCCGAGCTGTGCGTGCTGAGTGCGCGCGCGGGCGCGGGGGCCTGTAACGGCTAATCTGTGTTATTGAAATGATGATTGCTGCCGGCGCGGCGGAGCAGCGGCAGAGAATGGCACCGCACGCCGCCACCGCTGCCGCCACCGCTGCCGCATCCCGAGGTCACGCTCCGCAAATACTCGAGCCGACCGACTGCTGACCAGTTTCGATTCGAGAAACGATTCGAGATCTTCGCTGCGGGGCGGCGAAATAAGCTCGACAGTTCTTGTCGCGCAGATGCGACCTGGCGACATTTCCGTGGCTCGTGCACACAAATCCGTTTTCACAATTGTGTTATGGTTTTCGCGTCGTCGTACAAATGCCATCGGGCGAGCTGCACACCTAGATGGAGCCACTGTGTGGGCAGCGCAGGGCGGCCCCGCTCCTACCGTTATCATCTACGGGCTAGAAAATACCCGATAGACATTTACGTGGTGGCTCTAATGATATTACCAGGAGCTAATAATGTCATTATTAGCTCCTGATATTACCTAGCGATATCGGATAAGTGAGGTACAGTCAGCATCGAATAAGGCGCGGAGGGCGGGAAAGACGATTTGGAAAGAACTAATTCCGAGTGGGATGAGGTATAAGAAGGTATCTCTGCCTATATCAAGACCATGTATCGCTGAGGGGAAGAGCTAGTATGCGGAAGTGTATGAACTCTTTTTTATACAGGCAACCTTCGAATATTGCGCGGTAATGCTTACCATCAGAGAAGAATGGAGGATGTTGCTACTCCTATACAAGCCTTCATAGACGACACGCCTCGCAGTTAATGCACCGTGTTAAATCGGATGGTTTAAAAACTGTTCTATGAACACGTGATGGTAAAAAATCTGCTAGAAATTTCACGAAAACGCTATAGAGGAGTTTGTAACTCGTGAGTTACTGTATATCGTGATCGCGTTAATATACACGGCGTGAAGAGCATATAAACCATTTATGTTACTATTAACTATTAATATAGCCATTATATAACCATTACATATTATTAACAGATTACGTGCCATTAATGGCGTCTATATATATATATATATATATACACGTCCGCTGCGCGAAACTTACAGTAACTATCTGTTACCAAAGGTATAACTACTGCTGATGACAAACACACACACACGCACAGACACACGGAGGCACACACACACACACACACACACACGCACGCACGCACGCACGCACGCACGCACGCACGCATACACACACACACACACACACCACACACAGGCACGCGCGCACACACACGCACGCGCGCACACACGCGCGCACGCACACACACATACACGCAGACACACGCACGCGCGCGCGCACACACACACACACACACACACACACGCAGACACGCACGCAGGCACACATACACACACACGCACGCACGCAAGCAAGCAAGCACACCCGCACGCACACACACAGGCACACACCCGCACACGCAAGCACACACCCAGGCACACACTCACACACACGCACACACACATGCAAGCACGCACGCACACGCACGTACGCACACACACGCACGTACGCACACGCACGCACGTACGCACGTACGCACACAAACACACACACACACACACACGCATGCACGCTGCGAAGTTTAGCACATGTCCGGTGCCGTTAAATAAAATTGCCGCCACGATGTTCGCCAACATAAGGTTTAGACGAATGCACGACGACAATATTTCATAGCTGGTAAAACGTAATGATGAACAGAGGCGAGATTCCCTATCCAATGCTATAATAATGTTCCCGAGATATGGCACTAGCTGAGAGATCATGTACGGGCGAGACGGAACTTTGTAGATTGAACAAAAATCAATGTTACCTGATACCGGAGGGCAGAATCCCAAAAACTACACGTTTCCACTGCATATTGTATAATGTACATATATGCAATAATTGTGTAATATATATCTATATGTGTGTGTGTGCGTGTGCGTGTGCGTGTGCGTGTGCGTGTGTGTGAGTGTGTGTGTAACGCAGTATGTGTCTATTCTAATTGTACTAATCATCCTGATACAAAAATGTACGGCATAACAGATATAATAATAGTTCGTGAAACATTTATTGCAAG